AATGATGATGGTGATGATGATAATGAGGATAATGATAATAACAATGATAATAACCATAATAATAATAATCATAATAATAATAATAATGATTCTGATAACAATGATAATGATTAAAAGGATAATAATAATAATGACAATAATGATAAAGATAATGATTACTATAATAATGATAACAGTAATGATAATAATAATAATAATAATGATAATAATAATAATAATAATAATAATAATAATAATAATAATAATAATAATAATAATAATAATAGTAATAGTAATAATAATAATGATAATAATAATAATGATAAGTATATATTATTTTCTCACAGATAACACCGGGACTCACCACTCGTAGGTTTCGGCACAAGGAACCCATTGGCAGCCTCGTCTACGTACTGGTAATAGCCGGTAGTGAGGCCAGCTCCGATCACCACGTTCCCGGTACAGGGGCCCTGTGGTCCATGCGGCAGGAGTTGTGTTAGTTTGAATCTTCCTTACTGTTTTTGTGTGTGTGGACTGGGTGTTGTGCATGGTCTGCTTGTCTGTCTGTTTGTTTGCCTATCTATCTAATTGTCTGTCTGTCTGTTTACCTATTTGTGTATCTGTCTGTCTGTCTGTTTGTATGTCTGTATCTCTTTATCTGTCTATCTATCTATCTATCTGTCTATCCATCTATCTATCTATCTGTCTGTCTGTCTGTATGTATGTCTGTGTCTATCCATCAATCTATTTATCTATCTGTATATGTATGTATGTATGTATGTATGTATCTTATTATCTATCTATCTGTCTGTCTGTCTGTTTATCTATCAATCAATATATCTATCTATATTACCGTCGAGTGTTTTGGTTGCCAATCTCTGAAACAGGTAATGTGTGATTTACGACGAATAAATACAAAACTCCCTTTTTACGTTATCTATTGAGAAATTGAATTTGTAGATGACCTACAGATTTTTTTTGTCAGTCTGTTGGCCACTTGCCACCTTATACCCAGTCACATAAAACAAGCATACCAAGAATAAAAATTAAGCCCGCTTATTTCACTCTTCACAGACAGTCGAATGGAAACTTAGTGACTGGAATAAGGATACAATACACCTATTTCCCCTTTCATAAACACCCGTATTAAGTTCCCTAGATAACGGACTTCTAACTGAAAAGTTCTACAGAATAACAACAACCTCACCTGTGCATCAGAACAAGGGGTACACACAGCTTCCTCAGGACCCGCTGTGGAGTTGAAAGCAAATCCGGGAAAACCCAAGTCAGCTAAAATACCTTCATTCCCTTGCTCGATCCAAGTGGAGTGAGAGTAGAAATTCTGGAGTGTGTGGAGAGAGAGGCCGAGAAGAGAGCGAGCGGCGGAGTAGGCCTCGTCTTGAAGGATGGAGGTCAGGATCTTAAGGAGGAGAGAAAGAGAGAGAGAAAGTGGGAGAGGTTTTGTAAGGGTGAATTGGTGGGTTTGTAGGATATGAATAATTACAGATATGGAAAAAATATATATATGATGGTGTGATGATAGTTTCTGTAGTTACAACATTATCATTACTCTGTATACAACGAGAACTGTGGAGTAGCTACAAGGCACTTACCAGTGGGTACCTGCTGCCAATGCTCTCCTCTGTGTCCTCTAGCCGCTCTGCGTCAACTTGTAAAGTCGGGTCATATCTAGAAGTGATGTTGAACAGAGAACAGACATTGTTTCACTCAGACCAAGAGAAATATCATCTCTTACATTAGAACAGTGTTCATTATATGCTGCACCAAGATTTAGAGAAAGAGAAAAAAAATCACTATCCCTTACACGAAATCAACATACAATATATCCTTAGCTAAATTTTAGAGAAAGACCAAAAGAAATATCAAAATATATCTTACACGAGAACAGTATACACCATATACGTTGTCAAGATTTAGAGAAGGAATGTCAACAGGTTAACGAGCGCAAAGGATTCACCTGAGCTGCCTCACGGAGTCGGCCTTGACGTTGGACGCTGCGACTGAGTTGACCGCCTTGATGAATCGGACGGGCGAGGAGGAGGCGCCGTAGTACGCACGGTAGAGTTCCGTCAGGCTGGCGTCGGTGGGTACGTTGAAGTTCGGCTGCGTCAACGGCGGGTAATCCAGGAAAAAACGGCGAATATTTCGGCGGATGGCCTCGCGGGTGATCCACTTGTGGTCACGAGTCACGCCATTTGTCTGGGGGTGGATGGAAGGGGTGGGCGGACGGAAGGAGGGGGTGGATGGCTCTGTGTCAGGGATGTGCTCCAGGGTTTGTTTGTTTTGGGGGTTCAGGAATAATATGTCATGACACCCTTATCCATTCTTATCATTGTGTGTGTTTTTACTCTATCAACACCTGTTTTTCAATGATGAAAATCCGAGATATTAAGGAACGCCTGAAAGATATTAACGAGTATCCAACCCCCTTTAAATGGCTTCCACACGTGCTTTCCCACAGACGACGTCATCCACACCCCAACTACTTCTCACTTACCTG